CGAAAGGGATAAAGGGGCACACGTGTATGGTGATGGATAAAAACTAGATTATTGGTGGTGACCACAATGTAATCTATACAGAAACTGATATATAACAATGTATACCCAAAATCACACAATATTATAAAGAATATAACCTCAGGGGCCAGCCTGGTGGCACCCCGGTTAAGTGTGCACATTCCCCATCAGCGGCCCTGGGTTCATCGGTTCAGATCCTAGGGGCAGACCTATGCATCGCTTGTCAAGTCATGCTGTGGCAGGCGTAGAGGAAGATGGGCACAGATGTTAGCTCAGGGCCAGTCTTCCTCAGCAAAAAGAGGAGGATTGGCAGCAGATGTTAGCTCAGGGCTAATCTTCCTCAAAAAAAAATAGAATATGAACTCAAGAAAACGAAAAAATAGAAGTGTGATTTGCAGGCTAATTTTAGAACCACTACTGTGATCTAACTACAATAGAGTAGCCAAACCAGAATCTCATTTCCTCAGTAATCTGAGTCCTATGAATCTGAAAGAGTTTTATACATTGTTCGATAATGCTAATGATGAAGATGTTTGATGAATCTGTATCTGCCAAACTATTTTTCCTGAGAATTTCAAATTGGGCTTTTGTTCATTCAAGAATGTAATCTACATAAAATAACAATGATATAGCTCCCTGATTCATTGCAACAAATATTGACATTTAATGAGCGGATGAATGAAACAGACACAAAAGGATATAGCAGCTCTTAGCAAGAGCTAGGATTGAAATGCCTTTGATCTGAGTGGTCACAAACAAGAATGCTGCCACAGAGGCTGCATAATTATTACTTTGATAATAATTTGATAAAAAATAATTCAAGGTTCAGATGCTTAGAATATATCACCTTTCAATACTGAATTCACTTCTATATTCAGGGTTACTCTGCTACTCCAGAGGCTGATGGAATAAAGGGACTGGGAACAGATGGAACAAGTATATTTCTCTTGCTATCCTGGGTGTGTGTAATACCTTTTTTCATATAAATTAACTTTATTAACAGGTGGTGATTATGATTAGCTGTTTTTTATTTTTAAAGATTGGCACCTGAGCCAACAACTTTTGTCAATCTTCTTCTTTTTTTTTTTTATTCTTCTCCCCAAAGGCCCCGGTACATAGTTGTATATTTTAGTTGTGGGTCCTTCTGGCTCTGCTATGTGGGATGCCGCCTCAGTGTGGCCTGACGAGTGGTACCATGTCCGCGCCCAGGATCCGAACTGGCGAAACCCTGGGCCGCCGAAGCGTTTTATCTCAACCACTTGGCCACGGGGTCGGCCCCTCCATTTTACTTTTGAGGAAATGAAGACTCAGGCAGGTTAAATAACTCACCCAAGGTCACACAGCTAGCTAGTAAGTAGCAGGGCTTGGGATATAAAGTCATATCTGATTCCCAAGCCCATCTTCCTTCTCCACTGTATGACACAGCCAAGACTGTATGTACATCTCTATCTAGACATCATCCATCTACATGTAGATGCACATACTCACACACACCTTTCTCCCTTCCTCTCGGTCTTCCTCCCTCCCCTCTTCTTCTGCCCCAAAGAGACAGAGAGAGAATTCTATATATATAGATAGAGCTGGAAATAGATATATACTCAAATTCTTCTCCCATTTATTTACCACTTTAGGCAATAATTTCAGAAAACAGTTTCGGGGAGGCATTTATAAATCAGAGGAGGGCCAAATTTTCTCACCAGAAAGCATTTTACATTGTCACAGTGATGGAGTAAACAACAGTAATAATACATGCTTTCACTTCGATGTCAGCTGGGATAAAACGTTTGTCTTGTTTGGAAATAGCGATCTTTTCCCACCAGTTACATCCTTGTATTGTGTTCTTCTGCTGCTCTCAAATGAGAGCAAAGAGAGGATGAGAAGGAAGGAGGGGGATGGGGAGAGGGAGGAAGAGAGAGGGAGAGAGTGAACCGACTCCTTAACACCCAGCTACTTGAGTAGCTAAAAGTAGGTTAAATATAAAGCTTTTCGTTCAATTGACAAAGAGGTCACTGGGCCACCAGGTAACTGGTTCAAATATCAAACATTCTTGCTCCACATCTCCAAATATCCTTGTCACCCTAAAGGTGCTGCTCCACAGTAGCCGCAGAGGTGGCCCCCCAATGGTTAGGGTATCCATATCAGGTAAATCTCAAGGGAGGATTTGCAGTCACTAAAGACTGAGGGGCAGAGTTCTGAGGTGTTGGAATCAGGGAGCATCTTCCATGAGCAGAGCTTTCCTATTCCAGCAAGGGAGACTTGGAGACTGGAAAGTTCCTCATGAACGCACCCTTCAATGATTGTTCCATTCACTCTTTCCACCCTTTTCCCTGTGAAATGTATAAGCTGCTCCTGATTTTCTCTCTAGACTCAAAATGGGTAGCTTCACACTCTAACTTGTCTTCTACCAATGTGGCACCACGGGACTGGACTTCATTCTGGAAACTTGCACAGGAGGTACAAATGTCTAGTTTCATGACCCGGCAGATTGTTTGAAAATATCTCAACCCTTAGACCCTCTCCCCAAAAGACACATGAGGGTCATAACACAACCTGATAATAACCTTAACAACAATAAAAAGAAGGAAAACACTAGAGAAGTGGAAAGAGGAACTTTTTCAAGACTGCAAACATTCAAGCTAAAGCATGTATATGAAATAGCCTCTGTCAACATCTGATTTCTGACCTACAGACAAATCCTGTTGGAAGGGGAACTACATGCTTCTGACCAAGGGCTACAGTTTTAAGAGCCTCAAGCTCAGAAATGCTCTGTGGACTTGGCAGGTTTCTTTGCACCAGAAAGCAGCTAGAGTCTCCCCATAACTCACCAGCCCACCCAAAAGCTACTCCAGGCAACAATGAGTTTTCGTTTTGAAGTCTCACTTAGAACAGAGGGGCAGGATAAGAGAAATGATGGCTTTTAAACTCAGAGTGAGCAAACTAGAAGGGGGTCTTATCCTCTTGGTGTTTATTTCTTGGACCAAATTTCTAACCCTTCTCTGAAACCCCCTGTTGAGATCAGGGACAAAGAAGATAAAAGAGAGAGAGCAGAGGAAAGGGAACAAAAGAACTTCAATCTCAGGACTCTTAGTCCTCAGGGAAAACACAAACAGGACGGGTCTGTGTGTTTGCCTTTGTGTCCCCTGGATGTTGGAGGAGTGTTAAAGTGGATAAATACACCAAAGACCTGGGTTTTCTGAGCCAGCTGAATCAAGTCAACCAAGGTCTGACATCTGAAAGACCACGGCTCACATCACAGGCTCAGAGCCACAACGGCGTTACCTGCGGAGGTCCATTTCTCTGCTTGCAAGCAGTTTCTCTATCTCATACGTTGGCTCTGGCATGACCCACCTGCCACTTTGTCGTGAGAGGGGAGAGGGAGGTGGTAAAAGGGCACTGGTTATATAGCCCATCCCACCCTCGCCCACTGCAACTAAAATTCCCAACAGCATCTGGAAGGCCTTCTTGGAGAGCTGCTACATTCTGTCGAACTGTTCGTTATCAGGTCTGGCAGAGCTTATGAGTAAATCTGACAACTCTAATTTTTTTTAAGAGAAAGAAGAAATACATGTTCAGGTAACAGCTGCCTCACTCATTTTCATCCAGATGACAAGAAAAGTTATTCCAAATACAAACACATGTGATTGATATGGAAGACATATGTGCTTGTCAAGGGCAAGAAAACATCTGAGGATCCTCCGTGGATGGATCCCACTATGTGGTGGACCAAAAAATTTTTCTTGACATCTCTTCTCCTGGGTCAACTATCTTAACAACTTTTGTGCAAACATTTCAGCTTCCTTTTATGCTCTTTTGGAAAAAAGACACACTTGGGAATCTACCGAAAGCTGTGGACTTTGTCCTGGAAACACACACATACACACACACTTTTACACACAACTTCAGGGAATTCATAGATCTATTAGAATCCATTCATAGAACCTCCTCAGGGGTCCATGGACCTAAAGTTAAAGAAACTCTGGTCCAGAAGAAAAACTAGTTAACATTTACTGAGTACTTACTCTACGTCAAGCACTATTCTAAGTGTTTTAAGTAGATTTTTCTCAATTAATCATAATAATCCCACAGAGTAAGTACTACTGTTCTCTATTTTACTGACAAGAAATCAGTGGCAGAGAAAGTCACTTGCTCCAGGTCAAACAGCCAGTAAGTGGCAGAGCCAGGGTTCAAACCCAGGCCTTCTGGTTTTGGAGCTCCTCCTCTTAGCCACAAAATCACAGCTGTGAAATGAAACAAATGAAAGTCATTTTTTTACACAGCCCGTGATTGTAGCAGCTTCCTTTTTTGGGAAGGGGGTGGACAAGCCTGTGGATAGTTTGCCTCCCCAGAGATCTGAGAAAGTAGAGATGACTGGGTGAGGGGAGACGCTTGGCCAGGAAGCACATGCCCGTGACTAACTACTTTTCATGGCACAAAATAAAAACTAGTCAGGCCCCCTAGGGGGCTTCCAAAGAATAGGCCTGTGGTGCTGACATTAGCCCTTGAGCTTGGAGGTCTTGATTCAGTAGTTGAGATTAGTTCCTGGGTCATGAACTTAAATACCTACAAGGGGCCAGGAAAGTAAAGCAAAGATGAGACACGGGCTGGTGTAGGGCGTTGAGGGGGGCACATGACCAACTGGAAAGTGCATGTCCTGCCTCAAAACATTCACATTTAACAACAAACCAAAAAAATCCCATGAAGACCGAACAAAAGGCATTCAGCCTGTGGGCCATCAGTTTGTGACCTCTGAGTAGATCGCTTCCTTCCTACTCTTTAGGTATTTCCAAGTCAGGAGTACAGAGAATGCAATCTGTAAGTAAGGGACATAAGCCAGCCCATGTGACAATCCACATAGTGATTTTCGTTTCATTAGAACCATACTTTTATGTGCTAACCAACTGAGCAGTACGTCACTAGCAGAGAGGTCCAGATACCAGAGAGAAAGAACCCTTGGGCAGTCAGAGATAGCACACATCACATACCTCATACATAGGGAGCATTCAAGGTCAGATGCGTCAAAAGATGCAAGTGGAACACTGAGAGCAGGCTTGGCCCCCTGATCAGCAGGAGGATCTGTGATTTAGAAAGCAGTAAGTCAGAGCAGGACCAACCTAGTTTCAAAGACAGTACTTCTGAGGCAAAAGAACCCAATTATTTTTTCAGTCTGCCACTCTCACCACCTCCCAGAGAGTTGATTTGGCGGCTACCAGAGCCATTAGAATGGGATACCCTGAAGTAGGCTCTTGGAAGTGTCCAGCAGCCCCACAGAAAGGAGAGTACAAATCGGGGAATGTCCAGGAGCCCTGGAGACTTCATTCAAATGCAACAGGCACCTCACTGAACAGCAGCAGCAGCAGCAACTCCATGGACTGAGCCAGGCTTCGAAGCCGATGCTGCATCTTGGCCAACCTCTCTTGGAAAGATATCAAGCTGCAGCTGCTGCTTCTCAGGTGCCTACCTATGGGAACACAACTGGGAATGAGCAGAGGGAGGCCTGACCACACTTCCCTGGTCCTACATTCCTGGAATGGGGATGGGGGAGGGAGAGATTGGCCTGGAAGGAAGTGACACCATCAAGGGCATGAGATGTCATTACTTGATACTGTGCTTGACCTTATGCCTTGGCTTTCCATTATAATTATTACTGAACACTGGCAATAGGCTGGGAACTGTGCGTGCTCTCACAGGAACCTTGCAGTAACCGCTGAGGTGACACAGCCAAGTGCCAGAGCTAGGCCACACCCCCAGAGCCCAGGGAGCCCTCATACAGAGGGTAAGTGACTTGCATGAATTGTTGAGCCCAGGCAGCTCCTCCAGGCCCCTTTCTCCCTGCATAGAGTCAGTACCTGGCTTAGAGGCTTTATGAGGCACCTCTGGGTCTTGGGGTTCAGTCTGGCAATGTTTCCTTTTCTTCTCCTGGCATTTGCCCGTCTTGATGGAGGCAGCTTCTGGAGAGGCAGCATCCCCCTTCTCCTCCTCGTCTCCTTGGTCTCTCATGTTGTCTTCTTGCCCATACTCCTTTACTTTAGCTCGATTCACCTGGCCCCTGCAGTCCCCTTTGGCTGCTGCTTCCTCCTGACTAGAACAATGTGGGAGCTCTGGATTTTCCTAGAGGAAGAAAAAGCCAAATATCAGAATCTACTCAGGACCAATCTTCTCCTCTGATATTCCTGCCCAGGGGACAAAGAGAAAACTGCATATCCCGGATCATTTAGTGGACACATAGCTTAAGTGAGGGGCAGTCATAAGGCATATTTCCCACTTCTGTCCACACAGCATCTGCGACAAAGGCATGCCCAGCTTGGGTGGAGCTGAGAAACTTCCCTAGGCAAGGACAGAAAAGTGTGTAGGGAAGAGACTCCTTGGGCAGGGGTGAAGGAGAGAAACGTAAAGCATAGCACCAGTCCCATCTCCCACCCAAATCAGTCCCCAGCCACCAAGGCATGCAGTTAAGGTCCATCCTGTCACTCACTGCCCTCACTGCCATCCCAGGCCATCCGCAAGCCCTGCACCCCAGCTCCAAAAGGACTTTTAACTTTAATTTTAATTTTTGTGTGTGTGTGAGGAAGATTGGCCCGGAGCTAACATCTGTGCCAGTCCTCCTCCGCGTTGTATATAGGACACCGCCACAGCATGGCTTTATGAGCGGTGTGTGGGTCCACACCCGGGATCCAAACCCATGAACCCTGGGCCACTGAAGCGGAGCATGCAAATTTAACCACTATGCCACCAGGCAGGCCCCCTAAAAGGACTTTTGGTAAGGCTTTGGCACAAGTGGGTCCATAGGCCTGCAGAGTTACCTCATGCTCCAGAACTATATGTTAGACTGGTCAAATGAACTAGAGATAAACTATTCCTTTTACTAGAGTTTGGGTGAAAAGTCTGAAAAAGAGACAAAATCATTTGGCAAAACACTCAATCATATCTCTAGCCTTTTCAAGAATTTTTGTCCAAGAAGAGGATATTTGAAAAGGGATCTAGAAACAAATGCAATGAGAAGGTGTTTATGCGGACGTGTCCAGAGAATCCCCTCTCTGCTCTAAATCCAGAGGCCACCGGTCAAAATGCTCATGTTATTTTTCCCCTCCAACCGCTACCAAAAAAAATGGTAGATAGATGAAAAGTGGGGAGTGTACAGTTGGGAGGAAACGATGAGCTGAGGAGAGAAAGGATGTGGGTTTTCTTAGTCTCTAACCTGGGGAGTCCAGGGTTTCTTCAGCACCTTAGCCATGCTGCACCCTCAACCTTCCACGAGCCCCAGGCATTGTCTACACAGGAGTACACTGCTTTGCAAGGCAGAGTTTGCAGGGGAACCCAGTCCCTGTTCCCCAGCTGGCTCACGCTGGAAAGCCAGGGGTGCCGTCTTTCTTCATTTCAGATTAAGCTGCAATAAGAAGTCACCCTAGGCACTTCGGTTCAGTACGAGTGTTCTCAATCATGTCATAATAATCTCAAACAATTATCTGAATGAGCTAGGGGTTCTCTGACTTCAGCAGATACTCTGAGTTCTGCCTTTTTTTTTTTTTTTGAGTTGCGCACACCTGCATTTTATTCTTTTTCCAGAGCAAGGAGAGAAGCTGGGAAAATGTCAGGTTTCCACCTGACAGAGAATCCAAGAAGCCACTGAGATCCCAGGGCTTACATACAGGGGAAGAACATAGGGCACAAATGGAGGGGAGACTGCTGTCCCAAGGTGCGTAGGTATTTGGCACTAAACTCTATTTCAAGTCAGGACTTCTGAGCCCCAGCTTCTGCCCGCTTGCCCTCTGCTGGGAAAGCCAGGGCCTGGAGCCCATCTCTCCGTGGTTCTGTTCCCTCATTTTCAAAGAATGGCACAAATAGCTGTCTTCCTCCCAGGAATGTCAACCTAACACTTCCCAAAGCACTTCCCTCTTCTCGGCTACAAATATGTACCGCAAGTCTTCTTGTGTGTAAGAGACGATGCAGCAATATGACATTACCTCCACTTGGGAACTCAGCTGGCGCTCAAAGACCAGCAGCTCGAACAAACAAAAAGCAGGCAAAGAGGGGGTGTCAGGCCCTCTTCCCAGGCTCCACCCCTAAGCTGATACAGCCACCCTGATTGAATGGCTCCAGGGAAAGTGGGCCAATTCCTTTCTAGTTCTGTCAAATCCCTCGCTCAGCTGGATCTGAGCAAGAACTGAAAAATGAACGTAATAAATCATAAACCCTGGGACCATGCCTGAAACTCAGTTTTATCTTTAAGAAATAACCTTCCAGCAAGGAAACAACCACTAGCGAATCCATTTGTGCTTTCTCAGGAACTGAAGTAGGAGAGGCAGGGCTCGCTCCCCGTGCTTGCCCGCAAAACAGCCAAACGAAGCGTCACGAGCGAGCTGGGTGAGTTGAGTTTTACCTGTGACGACTTTGGTAGATTATGGCTGGTGCCTTCAGTAGCCATTGACTCTACGTGTTCCTTTAATCTAGGGTGAGGTGCCAACAGCTTCAGGATATCGGGAGAATGTTCCTGAGAATCCCCCGGGACTGATGGTGAAAAGAAACTAAGGAGAAGCTGTGACATAAAACAGAAGACTTCACTACTTGAGTTTCTACAGGTGCTCAGGTGAAGGGGGCAGGGGTAGGGAGGGACAGGGGAAACAGCTTGCAGGGCAAAACTCCTGGGAGGAAGCCTGGGATCAGAGACCCCGACACACCAGGGTGGGGGTCCTCACTTCAGCAGGCAACAGAATCGCCTGGGGAGCTTATGAAAATTCCAGGTTCCTAGTTCCCATGCCTGGCTCCCCAGGTCTGAAGTGCAGCCCAGGAATCTGGATTTTGGAAAGGCACCACGGATGCCTCGGTCACCCTAGCCAAAGTTAAGAACCACCACTACCATTTCATAGAAATATCCACAGTGATATTTAAAAATCTATCTAGGAGGAAAGAGACAGAGAGCGAAGGCAGGAGAGAAACATCAGCTGGGGGACCTGGAGTCATGTCCATCATACCCCAGTGGGCAGAAGTCTACAAATGTCTTCTAGGGTCCTCGCTATTTCTCTTCTCTGCCTACCATTTTGCTCCCTCCTCCCCTGACCATCATCCCTGGATCTTTAATCCCTCGAGCATTGAAGTGTTAGGACAAGCAGAACTTAAACTTCCTCCCTCTTCTCCCAGCCTCTCCTTCCCCATCTCTGGCCGTCACTATCCAGAGAATGTCAGGTAACTTCAAGTACTGGGCGCAGGCACGCTCCACTCTGTGACTGTTTTCCATTGCAATTGGATAAGCTGGTCGAGTGAGAAGATCCAAAAGGGATTGAGAGTCAAAGATGTGCCTTCTAGTGCAGGCTGCACCATTCGCTGCCCGCATTCTTGCTTCAATTCTCCCCTGTGCCAGCAGGATTATGAATATACATATGCATATATTGTATGTGACATGTAGCACATGAAGGCAGGTCACTTGCCTTCTAAAACATATCCAAGTTTTTACCACTGAGCAGACCCTGCAGCGTTTGGAGACCCACTAAAGGATGTTTCACCCCCTTGCTCGGGGTAATGGTCAGGGTATTAATCGATCAAGGGAATCTGACAGAAACTCTGACTAAACTCTCTCCAGTTTGACTTGTTCTCTTGCTGGCCCTCGGCAGTTCCTTCACGATATTCCTCCAGATACCAGCACTTTCCACGTAGCCATACCCTGCCCAGCCTTCAAGGCTCAGCTCCAGTGCTGCCTTCCCCTACTTCTCCAGCCTCCCTGATCTCGCCTGTCCTTTCATGTACTCTACTGCACCATAAGATAGCGCCTCACGCTACACAGTCTTGTGTTAGCCTCAAACTGTGTCGCAGATGTCTTTCTCTCTAACCAGATGGCCACCTTCTGGAGGGCACACGACAGATGTACAATAAATACTCATCACACTGGATGGAACTGAATTAAGATACTTATCCATCCCAGGGCCCGGGAAAGGTCTAGGGTTCAGGCCCAAAGTCCTCAGACAGATCCTACGTTTCCTTCCAGCTCTGAGAAACCCACTTCTTAGGTCTTAGTTGGGAAAGGAGTAAGGTGGGGAGGTACTCAGAGTGCCCAGGGCCATAAATGCAGCTTTCAGAGGCCCCCTTCCACAGGAGCCAAAGTTGGCCCTCAGAAGCCCTCCTGAGTGGCCCAACAGAACCAACCCACTTCTGAAGCAGTCTCCCTGGAATTCTCCCCAAAGGAATGTGATGCTCTTCAGTGGCAGCCACATGGCACCCCAGGGCACAAGGATAAAAAGGCAGAGCATGGCGGGAGGGAAAGGGAGGCAGAGAGGAGAAATCAAAGGAAACAAGACAGAAACAACAGCAGTACTTCACTTCTCCCTTTACTACCTAAGATCTCACTCTAGGCCTTCCCAATGGCTTTGGAAAACCAAAGTTGGGGTCAACTCTCAGTGAGAATAATCATTCCACGTGAATGAGAGTCAATTCCACTTCAGTGTCAGCCTTAGAAAGGCCCAAATGGGTCAAGAAGGGGAAAAAAAGAATCTGAGGCAAAACTAACATTAAAAAGAAACTTAGGCCTCGGAGTGTCTAAGGCAGGGACTTAACACCAAGTGAACCTGGACCACCTCTGTTAAATCTTTAGCCCCGAAACTGGAACAATCCAGTAAATAACCACTGCTGAAGGCCCTCGGTGTTCTTAGATGGCTGCCATGCCCTCATCAGACTCAGTGGAAATTCCCCTCTAAATTCTTGCCCCAGCTTCAGAACTCCAGAACACTTATTATGGGCATGTGTTCTCTTGTATAGTCTGACATTTATATTGCGTTGTATAACACATGCAAGATTGTTAGGTCCTTAAGAACTGAGACTGTGGCTTATGCCTCTTTGGGTCTCTAGAACTTATCACAATGCCTTGCCCCATCCTGTTAGGCAGTTGTGGAAATGACACTAGCTGGTCTGTAATAGCAGCTGGAAAGAAAGGTCAACCCAACTGATGATACCAGAGCCTCTCAGGCCAACTGGGAAATGGACAAACGGGAGTAAAGAAACCACTCACCCCTGGATCTGACACCTGCTTCTGTTGGCCTTTGCACACTCTGTCCCAAAAGTCAAGCTTCTTCTAACTGCCTTTGTCCATCCACCCCAGAACTGGCTAGTCGCAGTGCATGCTGAGACTCCTGGCATATCCTCCTGAGACAGCAAGATGGTGGAGTGGCTAAGAAGGCAGACTCTAGAAGCAGATGGAGTTGGCTTTGTACACTCTTCCACCAATCACTAGCTCCGTGACCTTGGGAAAGTCACCAATCCTCAGCTTCCTCATCTGTAACATGGGGATAAATAATAGTACCTTCCCTCATAGGGATGTTGTGGAGATTAAATTATATCTTCCACGGAAAGCCCTAGCACAGTGCCTGGTGCATAGGAAATACTCTATAAATGTCAGCTATTATTTTATTTATTTATTTATTTATTTATTTATTTTGCTGAGGAAGATTAGCCTTGAGCTATCATCTGTTGCCAATCTCCCTCTTTTTTGCTTGAGGAAGATTAGCCCTGAGCTAACATCTGTACCAGTCTTCCTCTATTTTCTATGTGGTTTGCCGCCACAGCATGGCTGATGAGTGGTATAGGTCCGCACCTGGGAACTGAACCCGCGAACCCGGGCCACTGAAGCGGAGTGTGCCGAACCCAAACACTAGGCCATGGGGCCAGCCCAAATGTCAGCTATTCAGCTATTTTTATTATTAATATTCACACATGGTCTACACTTAAGAGTTGGGGAAGGGTCCACAGCTTGGAGCAATTCTCTGCCACCAGTGCTCCTTTCAAGAACACCTTGTCCATATTCCCAAAGCATGTCAAAGCAACTTCCCTGAAAAGAAATCTTCTGTGAGAGGCACACCCTCCAGAGTTCAGCTTCCCTAGTTCATTGATTTTGCTAAAGATTCCTTTCAAAGTCTTCAGAAACCAGTCCTGTCTCCTGCTCCCTTTCTTCATCCGCTGCTCTGCCAAACCACACTGGGACAGAAGCACACGGGCTGTGGTGCTGAATAGTGCCTGGGGCACAAGGAGAGCAGAGGCCACCACTGACCGTCAGCATCCCACTTCCAGGCCACTTAGCCAGACGTCAGGAGAGCATATTGCAGAACAGTAAGCAACAAAATCCACAAAGTAAGGATGCTTTAGCCTTCACTAATGCTCTCAGGAGTTCACGCAAATTTTTAAAAAATAACAACCACATTCTCCTGGAGCTCAAGAGTTGGAATGACTGTTTGGATTATATTGTAATGATCCCTGACTTACATTTTTGAGGCAGTGTCCATGTTTTAATTCTAGCAAAGGAGCTGAAGGTTGGAGTTCTGCATATGGCAGGGGAGACAGGGACGAACACCCTTTCTGAGGAGCTGGCTGCCCTGTGTGGCTGGTGAAGCTGTGACTCAGCCAAAGAAAAGTTCGACAGCCTCAGGCAGCCCCACACCCTGACCTCTCAGCAACAGCCAGACTCCCTCACTGAGCCTCTGTCCCCATGTTAACTTATTTGGTTTTATTTTGTTTTCATTTTTTATCCCACTGACAACACAGACCCTGAATCAAATAAGCAAGAACATTCCTCACAGGCTTGTACAAAAGTGCAAGAACTGCACAATCTGATTGTACATGCCAAGAGGATGGGGTTTTGGGGCAATCAGTTGACACTTGTGTCTCTCTCCTGTTCCCTTTACCCAGGGAGCCACCCACTCAGGACCCCAAATGCCAGGAAGGGCAGTTCCCTCACTCTCCTCCTTGGAGAAGACAGAGAAGGGGGAGCCCATTGGGCAGCTGGACCTGATCTCGTCTCAACTCACCCTTTGGGCTTCGGATCTTGCTTTTTTGTTCTTTCCATCGAGGGATACACAATATAGAAACTCCCTTAGCGCTTCTTCCACCTTGCCTAGGGTGGCCAAGGCCTGTGCTTTTCTGAAGTGTGCCTGGAAGAAAACAGGAGCAGTCAATCCCACTCTCATTCACCTTATTGGTGCTGCTATTATTAATAACACTAACTAAATACTCCATGGGTATTCACTATTGTGGGAAGTGTTTTAAAAGGATTATCTTCTCTACAGCCCTATAATGTAGACAATTGTTCTGAAACTCACTTTAAAAAAGACAAAACAGACCCAGAGGAGTGGCTTGCCCAAAATAGCACAGCTGGTAAACTGTGGAATCAGGGTTTGAGCCTAGGACTGACTGATACTGAAGTCCAAATGCTTAACGACTGTGCATGCAACCTCCCCTCTGCCCCACCGTTGTAATGGAGGTCTCAGCAAACGTAGCAAGAACCCCTATTTGAACACATACTAACCAGCTTTCAGGACCCACCCAGATATGCCTTCCTATTAACTAGTCTGTCAAGCAGAGACCTAGCCCACATTACAACCACCTGTGCTTACTGATAAGTTTTCAGAAGAGGCCCAAGGGAAGGGACACAACCTTTCCAAGCCCTCAAAGACAGCTAGTGGCAGAGCTGGAACTAGAACTGTGGTCTAGGACCCCCAGAAAGCTCTTCCCCGCAAAGCAGACTGCCCTTCACAGGACTAACCAGGGGCTGAGCTAAGCAGTGCGCTCAGCTCACTTCTGTTCCTTCATCACATCTTTAAAAGGTATAAAGAAGTTTTAGGGCTTCTCAGGGTCCAAGCCCAACTGGCCTGGGAGAGAAATTCTAGGGGTAGCTGAGGAGCATCTTGGGGAAGAGGGAAGAAGAATAAGAGTAGGAAGAGAGCTGCCCTCTCTCTGGGCCTTGGTCTTGCAACTTGCTTTGGAGGGCATTCTTCTTGAGTCATCTAGGCTGCCCCTCACGGACCTGCTCCCCACTCCCTGGCCTCAAAGGTTGATCCTGAGTCTAACTTAGTGAAGGAAATGATCCAGGCTGCGGCTGCTGGGCACTCCCATTCCTCCCCTTCTAACATGCCTCTACAGGCCAGGGTGCTCTTGGGCTCTGGCCTGGCTACAAGGGCTGGCCGGGATCTGCGTTCTTGAGTAGTGGTGCCAGTTCCAAACCTCTCCCTGTGCCCCCTACTCTCCTCCTGGAGCCTAATCTCGGCTAATATGTGGATGCTGACAGCTTGATGCTTTTCCCACAAGTGTTCAGCAGGGGCCCTTTGGAGAAAGGTTTGCATGACATTTCAGAGTGGCGAGAGGGAATAAGTGCTGGGAGACTGGAGAGGCCTCTTGGATCCCACCAATCATACCAACTAGCAGCCCATATACTCTACCTGCTCAGGGCAGCCAGCTCACCCCACTGAGAGCTGTGCCACCTGTAGGACATTTTGAGTACCACTAAGCCCTGGCTGGATGGTGGGAATAGGGCTGCACAAAGCTAACCCCTCCCATAGAGGCATTTCACAGAGAAATGATGGGAAATATGCAAATCGGGGTGTGAGGTGGTTTTGAAGCATTTTCATCAGTTCAAGTCTTCTCAACCCCCAAGACAACAGAGTTCTCTCATCACTGCCTCTCTGCTTACCCCAGGACTTTACGGAAATGAAACTCTTGTTTAATACTTCCACCAACTCTTCCTTTACTGAGGAAGTCACTTTCTCCATTTCATCCAAAAGGGTCCACTGCTAACTCAGCCCTGCTTCTTACCGCACTATTGAGGCCCCCACCCTTAGGCCCTAGGTTTAGGGGGGAGCAGAAAGAGTTGCAAGAGGAGTCCTCTTATCCCCAGGTAGCCCGTGACCTGCACAACTACAAGGGTTGAACTGCTCCCACTGGAAGCTCCTCTGGGTTAAGACACTGGTGAGTTTTAGTAAACTGTAAATGTGTTCCTTGGGAAAGAGAACATACTAATCCATCCTCACCCATGAAAACCTCTTCAAGGAACATATGAGATTCACTCTGACATTAATGGCCCGGTATGCAGGTCCACAATGCTTTATCTGAAGTTCCCAGATCCAAAAAAGTCTGATAATCCAACATTTTCGTAAGCTTGACGTCAACAATCATTAGGTGGCAAAACCTGACCTAAAATGATATAAAGTGTGTTATATAGTCTTTACCTCACTTAGTGTGAATTTTCATGTAATATGCTGCAGAAATATTAGTGTGTTTCATGATGGGATGCTGTCCAGAGCTCACTGAGGGTGTCACCTTACAGTCTTTCTGAAATCGGAAACACTCTGGATTCTGAACACATCTGGCCCCACGGGATTCAGATAGGGGATCGTGGACCTGGACTTGGATAAGTTGGGTTTCTGAGGAAGGCATCCTAGTGTTGTGTTGAGAGAGCACTACACCAAGACGCAGCAAGCATTATAGCTCACGGAATGGCCTCTTGGCCATGCTCACCTGTGACCCTCACTGCACCCCTGTGAAGTGATCAGGGCAAATAGCAATAGCTTCGTTTTGCAAACAAGGACACTTGGAATCCAGAGAGTGAAGCAACTTCCCCACGGTCACTTAGCTGGCAAGTAGCAGAGCCCAGGCTCAAATCTAATCTTCTAAACAAAATATTGACATGTGGCTGAGGGCCAGGCCTGAACCAGGCAGAGATGGAGAAAGTGACACTTTGCATCCTGGCATCTTGAGAGATGCCTAGCCTGTCTTTTTCCCTGCCCCTCCATGTGACCTAGATGTGTAGGGATACCAGCAGGCTGACTGACCATATTAAGGACTCAAAATGGCACAACCAACCAGCAATACTTCTCTCACCATCCTCTTTCTACTGTCCCTGGGAAATAATGATGATGATGATGATAGCAAACGTTTATATAATGCTATGTGCCAGGCATTGCTCTAAGCATCTTACACGTATTAGCTCAGGTAATCCTCACAACAAACCCTGTTAAGTGGGTGCGTTGAATATCTGCATTTTATAGATGAGGAGATGAGGTACAGGGAGATTAAGTAATTTGCCCAAGACCACAAAGCTAATAAAAGTAGCAGAGCTGGGACATAAACTCAGGCAGTCTGGCTCCCAAGTCCACGTCCTGGAGAGTCACAATGCCCAGGCTGCTCTGCAGGTCATCAGCTGAAGATCAGCTTGGGGAAGAATCCAGTTCCCTTGCAGACTCTTGAGTCACCCTTTGTCAAGGGATCCCCGCTCCTTTGCAAAGCCTGCTCCCTGCTCCACTTGAGCTCTAGCGCCCCTACCCCCAGGAAGGCAGCCCTTCCTGCCAATTCCTGGCGACAGTACTGCTCCTTCTCATCCCTCCCATTTCACACTCACCTTAAAACCCATTGGGCGGAGCTTACATGCTATTTCCGCATCGTGCAGTGCATCCTCATGAGACTCCAAGGTGAAGTAAATTTGAGACCGGTTGCTATAAAGCAAGTGGTCATTTGGAGCTGCCAAAATGAGAAAAAAACAACCTCATTAATGGCCCTCAGCACAACCACGTGATAAGTCCTGCATGAGGACGGATCTTAAGCAAATGGCAAGTTATCAAGGACTTTTCTCCTAGGGATCCAAAGGGTTAGGCTCAATTTCCAGCCCTAATATTGCCCTCTGGGTCTGAGCTTCCTCAACTGTAAAGACGTAATTTTTGCTCCTCTCTCAAGCTGTTCCCTAGAGGGCTGCAGTGTCAGTGGGGCACTAGTGACTTTGACACAGAGGAAACCTTTGGCACCTTACTCCATGGCTGTGCATGGCTAGCAACTGGCAGCCTGGTTTCTGAGTGTGGCATATCACCCACAAAGAAACAGGCCAGGGAGCTGGGAGAGGGAGGTGGCCAGCTACTACCCGCATTCTGACCACCAGGAAGACAAGTCCAAATTAGGTTTCTGGGGACATTAGCAACATCTCTGTCTACAAAGTCCAACACCTATGAAGTTTCTCTGAAGAAGCTGGGAATGCATTTGCAAAGCTCCATCCTCTAATTACAGATGGGCAAACCTGAGTCAACCTGAACAAAGCTTCTGGGAATAAAGTGAGGTTGGCTCTCACCAACACTTTGAGTTACTAAATGCCAGGGCTGGCCAGGCCTTTAGAGATCATCTAGCTCAACCAAACCATTCTTCAGATGAGGAAAATCAAGCCCAGAGAGGGCAAGGCATCTGCTTAAAGTCACACAGCTGGCTGGTCAGACTCACTGCTAACTGGTCAGACTTTGAATCTTTGAAGCTGAGGTGGGGACATGTTCCCTTTTCTGAAGGGTGTACAGTACTCAGAATAATAGAGAGGAGACACTGGGCGTCTTCCAGTACAAAGACACTCTCTGTTGGGGAGGCCCCCTTGCTCTTAAAAGGGTGAAGTGGTCTTGACATTTTCACTTTGACTGCTCTGAGGGCATTAACAAAGGAAGAACCCCCAGGGAAAAGTGGTGGCAGCAACAAAGGGGGAGAAGGAGGGGGAAAGGGCTTTCCTGGCCCCTGGGGGATGGCTGGAAGGGATGGAACCTCCCTTGGAGAGCTGGGCTTGAGTGGCCTCCATCTGTCTCCTTCATATTGCCCTGCTCTTCCCCAGGGACTGGGCTCCAGCTTCCCCTGCGGGAACAGGCTTTGTCCGTTTTTTCCCAGCAGTGTGCCCATGGCTTGCTTGGGTGCCCACTACTTGCTCTTAAGACATTAGCAAAGAGTTTACAGTCTTCTCTGTCCCTTCTTTTCTGCAGCACGCGCCAGCCCGGCGGCAGCTCACAGTGTGCCTTGCCTAGACACAGGATGTGCGTGTGGGGTGGGGGAGTCCCCCTCGCCCTCAGGTGCCAATCTCGCCCAGTCGGCCCTCGTCCCTCCCCCTCCCCCGTTACCTGTTGCAAACTCGGGTGGGGATTCAACACGTGGAGACTGCAGCCTACCCCATTCTCCCCCCATCCGAGTCGGGCTCAAGGCCCCCTCAGATCCCAGAGCCCTGTCATCCCAGCCCCGCCGCCGCCGCCTCAGCACGCTTCCCCAGACACGGCGCCCCGCCGCCCGGGCTCCTGGCTGCCGGCCCGAGCTGGGCAGTGCTGGCCCGCGGCTCGGCGGCCACGTCTTGGGTCCAGACGTGGGGAGTCGGAGGGAGCCGCTCCCTGAGGGAACTCGGGCGCCCTAGTCCGGCCGCAGGCGTGGGGCTGCCCACGTTGGCCTTGAAGCCGAAAAGCCCACCCATCCCTCCTCCGGCAGCACGGGAAAGTGGAACAGAGGCGTGCCCCCTCCGTAGCCAGCCCACACACCCCGGGGATCCCCGGGCAGATGCCTGACCCGGCCACCCGCTGGGCTCGCGGGGTGGGGGTTCCAGGCAAGGGCGCAGGCTGCGGGCGGGGCGGGGCGGGGCGGCATCGGTTTCAGCTGAGGATCGTGTGATAGGAAGCGGTGACAATGAGTCACAGGGCAGCGGGGCGCGAGCCCTCCCCCCTCCCCCCCGCACCCGCTCGCGGGATGGTTTCCGAGGCGAGCGTGGCCCACTTCGGTTACCTCAGCCGTTACACAATCCCGCCCGCCCGCCCGCGCGGAGGAGGGGCCGCCCGGCCCGGGCCGCTCGCGGCCCTTATGCAACCAGTGCTCTCCTGACCTAATTCCTCGCCGGACCCACCCCGCCGGGAGCCGCGGCCCCGGAAGGGACAACTCCCAGCCGCGACAGCGGCCCCGGGCAGGGCGAGAGCGGCGGATGCAGGCGCCGACCGAACATCTCGGGCTGGCAAGAGCCGGGAGGACCGGGCGCGAGCGTGGGAAGGGTGCGAAGTTCCTCTCCTGGCAGGGAAGGTGCGGGCAGGTGTAAGAAGGGCCCAGGCGCGCCGAGGGAGAGAGAGAAGGAGAGACAGAGAAACTGAGACGGTGACACTGAGCAAGACACGGTGACAAGGATGTGAAGAGGCAGAGAAAAAGAGAGACAGAGAAACAGAGTGACACAAAGACAAACAGAGACTCAGAAACGCAGAAGCAAACAGGAGACACAGAAAAAGACAAAGAACAACAGACAGAAAGAGACACAGAGAAAGAGAGAGAAAGCGGTAGAGACAGGCAAAGTCAGACCGAACTCCAGAAATCCTCCTCCCTCACTCCGGCCACGGTCCATCCCACGGTCCCCCGCGCCCTCCTCTGCCCTGGTGCATCCCCGGCTCCCCGCCCGGTCCATCCCCCGCCGCCCCGGCCGGCAGCGCGGTGGGCTCACCTAGCCTGACCGCCTCGTTGTACTTGAGCAGCGCCGCCTCCACCTGGCGCTCGCGGTACAGCCGGTTGCCCTCGTGCCGGAGTTGCGACGCCCGTGCAGGGCCCGGGAACAACTTGCCAAGGAGGCCGCTAAGCACCACGTTGACCCGCAGCGGCGGCGGCGCCTGCTGCCCAGCCCGCCTGGCCCCGCGCGCCCGCCCGGTGGCCACCATCAACGCGGAGAGCTTGACCCCGCACAGCGCACAGCGCCGGTCAGCTGCCCGCCCGCGTTCCAAGCACAGTTTACAAAATGTGTGGCCACACGACAAGGATACGGGGTCTGAGAGAAAGCCATGGCACTTCCGGCACTTGAAGCCATCCCACACCTCGGTGGCCTCGGCGGCAGTTGCCGCTCCTGCCTCTTCAGCCGCCACCGCGCAGCTCGCCGCGTTGCTCCCGTCCGGGGGCGCCGGCGCCCGCGCCTCGCCTTGCGGGACGTTCTCGGCCAGGCAGCGCACCAGCTGCTCCAGCTGCTCGGCCACCAGCTGCTGCCGCTCCGAGAGTTGTCTATACACCTCGAGGGCTTCCCGGAGGCGCCCCCCAGACGCCAGGGCGTCGGCCTGTGTGAGCAGGACTTTGCACTCCGGCGTCGAGGCCCTCGGAGGCTGCCCTTGCTCTGGCTCCTGAGTCGGTAGAAGTGCGGGGCCTTCTGTAGCCGCCTCCGGGTGGGGGCCCGTGTCTACGCGGGCCGCTGATGCCGCCGGCTCCGCCAGCTCTAAGTTGCTGCCGAGCTCGGCGGGCAAGCTCAGCATCTGTCCAGCCTGAAATGAATCCATAGGGAGAGGGACACGCGCGGAGAAAAGGCGTCTAGGGGCTGGGGACCCGGAGCAAGGAGCGGCGGCTGGAGGGAATAGGGGCTACCACGGCCGCCGCACTGCCACGCACCGGTCCCTGCCGCGCCTCCGCCAGCTCCATGCCGGCCACCCCGCGCCGCCTAATAACTGTCTTGTCTCAGCAAAGTGTTATATAAAACGGCACCACGTGACGCGCCGCCACGCCGCTCATTGGCCGGCAGCGGGGAAATTGTTACAAAACCAGACAGTTTTGTAACAGTGTTGCGCTTGCTTCTTTTGGCTTCGCATTTCTTGGCTTCTTTTTGAGGTTGTTTGTGTTTACACTCTGCCTTATTTCCCCCTCGCAATGTGGTTCCTCTCCAGAAGAGGGAGAGGGAAAAAAACCCCAAAGTCTTCTCTCAGGCTTCTCCGTCTCCAAAGTCTACCCCATCCCACCTCCAAACCCACCAGCAAACAGGTCGCCTCTGCCAGCCGCTCGCCAGCGGCTCCTTCCCCCAACTCGTCACTGGAGAGGCCGGCACCTCGAGGCGCGCTGTCCTCCAGGTCTTTGGGGACGCCGACAGCTCGCTCTGGGAGCCCTGCCCCGGATCCTCACCCTCCGGGTCCCTGACCACCTTGCCCGGGGAGTCCCTCAAAGATCATAAGCGCTGTTATCCGAGAGCGCTTGGTCTTCTGTGCTGGGAGCGACTCGGAGCAGCGGGACCCGCGGGCGCAGAAGTTGGGCGGCGCTCGCTAAGCGGTGAGGGACGCGCCGAGAAGATGCGCTCGCCGGCTGGGGCCCGGGGGAGACGGCCTCCGCGCCGCGCTTCCTCTCCTCTCTCTCCCCCAACTCTGGAACCTGCGCTGGGGTGGGCGGCGGGCGCCCCGCTAGAGACGCACTCGGTCCTGGGAGCCACCAGCCGGATGGGCGCGGCCGCGAGAACTCGGCCAGCTGGGGTCACTAGGTAGTCTGGGGGCGTGGGAGAACGGGAGGTGGAAGACGGGGATCGCGAGCGCTACTCCGGAGAAAGTCCGTGAATCCTGGCGCACTCCAGGGGCCGAGCTACTCCAGGTTCCCCGCTCCAGAGCGCTGAGTTCTTACGCGGGAGGGGTTGGGCTGCGCACTAGCGCACGGTGCTTGGCTCACAATGACTAGGGGGACTCGAAGGTGCCCCGCTTATTCCCAGATGGCCAGTGTAAACCGCCCACATTCTGTCTCCCTCCCAACCCCACACTTCAGACGGCAGCCACCTGCGCAAAAAAGCAGCAGACAGGCTTAGAGACCTAAGGGAATAACGTACTTCCCCCACCGTCACCATGCTCCGAGTGGGCAGGCAGGGTCTGGGCTTGCCTCTAGCTCGGCCTCCAGAATCTGCGGACTCGGGGCAGTGTCTGGAGCAGTGCCGGGGCACAGCGCCCCCCCAGGGGCCTGATGACCTATAGTTGGCTCCGGCTGTGGCCACTTCTTAACTGAGTGACCTTGGGCAAGTGACCTAAACTCTGGGAGCCGTCGTTTTGGCTTCTGGACAAATGTCAGGGATGATCTTAGTTGGGATCAAGTCATGTTTCAGATCTGGGGACCACAGGTTCCACTCTGGCTCTGTGTCTCTTTAGGTCGTTAATTGCCCCCTTGAGTCAACACAAGGGTCCCAGAAAATAGGTACTGGGCAGTGATCCCTACAGCCTCCCTCTGGTGAGGCAGAACAGGGGAAGAGGGTCAGATAGGGGAAAGAGAGCAGGAAAAGAAACAGGAACTGAGACTGTAGCCAGGAAGGCAGAAGGCACACATAGGAAAACTTGGCTTGCAGCCCTGGTTTTGTCATGACTTGCTGTGAGACCCTGGGCAAGTGCTCCGGCCAGGTCTTAGTTTCTCCTGATCTCCAAGGTTCCCTCCAGCCCTAACCTTGAGTGGTTTCTATCCTAAGACCAGATTTCATGATACCCACTCAACTACTTAAGTACAAAGGACTAGTCCAGATGCTGTGGGTGTTGGCTTGGACAAGGAGGTAAGGTCAGCAGTAGCAGTGGAGGGCAGGGGTAGCTGCACAGCTGTCCTCTTCTTCAGGGTCAGGCCTGAGCCAGATTTTGAAGATAGAGAAGTCAGGGGACTGGCCAAGCAGTGGAGGAGGTGGTTATGCCAGGCAGTTGGACAGAAACTGGGGCTCCTGCTGACTTGCTGTCTAAAGGGAGCTCCTTTCACCCTTCAGTTTCCCCTGCTATTGAACGGGGTCTGTCTTAGTCGCTTCAGGCTACTATAACAAAATGCCATAGAGTGGGTGGCTTATAAACAACAGAGTTTTATTTCTCACAGGGAAATTTATTTCTAGAGGTTGGGAAGTCCAAGGTTAAAGTCCTGGCAGATTCAGTATCTGGTTCATAGATGGCTGCCTTTTTGCTATACCCTCACAAGGCAGAAAAGGGAAGGGAGCTCTCCGGGGTCTTTTCTTATAAGGGGACTAATCCCATTAATGAGGGAGCCCTCATGACCTAAGCACCTTCCGAAGGCCCCACCTCCTAATACCATCACATTGGGGATTAGGTTCCAACACATGAGTTTTGAGGGTACACATTCGGTCTACAGCAGGATCCCCAGCATTAATTATCTGCCTGCCCCTTCTGGCACCGGTCTGTGGGGCAGGGAAAGAGATTTATATGAAAGGACCAGGAGATGGATAATGATTAAAAAACCTCTTAATTCAAAAGTCTTATTCCCTTGACAAGTTTTAAAAATAAATGTCGTGTACCCAAAATTGTCTTCCAGATGCAGATCTTGGATGTGCCTTGCTCCCTGGACCACTTTGACAAGTAAGCATTTCCTGGGTTGGTTTCCCTCCCTTGCCTGTCAGGGATGGATGGAGAAGGCCAACTCAGGCAGCAGGTTTCAGTCCTGCAGGCATGGAATGGAGATACTCTCATCAGGTAGCCCCTCCGGAGGCTGACCTTGGTCAGGAATGTCAATAGCTGCCAGGGCCATCAAGGCAAGGTGGGCTGGTGCAAAGGCGGCACCATCTACTCACTGTCTGGACTGCCTGTAGGATAACACCAAATGGGTTTCTACTGAATACAGGAAAACATTACCATAATACAAAGGCCGTAGATGATGTTTAAAATGTGTTTGTTAAGAAATAGTAGGGGCCGGCCCCATAGCTGAGTGGTTAAGTTCGTGTGCTCTGCTTCAGTGGCCCGGGATTTCACTGGTTCAGATCCTCGGCACAGACATGGCACCGCTCGTCAGACGATGCTGAGGTGGCGTCCCACATAGCACAACCAGAGGCACTCACAACTAGAATATACAACTATGTACTGGGGGGCTTTGGAGAGAAGAAGAAGACGAAGAAGAAGAAGATTGGCAACAGTTGTTAGCTCAGAGCCAATCTTTAAAAAAAAAGTTCTCCTCTCCCCTCCTTCTAGGGAGCTCCAGTTAGAGCAGAGGGGAGAAAGTTTTGAGTAGGAGATTTCTGATTGGTCCACAAATGTATATCAACGTAATGTTTGTTTAATTTAAATAAAGAAGGAAAGAAAACCACTGTGGTAATGTTTTCCTGTATTTGATAGAAACCCATTTGGTGTTATCCTACAGGCAGTCCAGACAGTGAGTAGATGGTGCCGCCTTTGCACCAGCGCACCCTGCATCACCCTGGCAGCTATTGACATTCCTGACCAAGGTCAGCCTCCGGAGGGGCTACCTGATGAGAGTATCTCCATTCCATGCCTGCAGGACTGAAACCTGCTGCCTGAGTTGGCCGCCTCCATCCATCCCTGACAGGCAAGGGAGGGAAACCACTTGGCCACCCACGGGGTGGCCAGGGAAAGGAGATAGACAACACTTTTTCAGATGCAAATATTCCCTTTGGAGGGACGGGTTCTTCCAACCTGCATTTATTTTGCTAGGCTCCCCAAGTGGCTAAGGTTAACCAGGAAACAGCAAGAGGGGAGTTGCCCCTCCTTTCCAGCTGACTACAGCAAGTTTTCCAAGTGGCCTCTGAGAGACCTCTCAGGGGCTCGGAGGAGAGAGCAGGCAGGTCTCAACTCTAGCTTCCTTTAACCAGGGCAGCCTTGCATCCACCTGTTTCATGTGGTGCCCTGTGTCACTTAATGTCTTGTGTCTTTCATCTCTTCCTCAGAGGACGGTATCTGAACAGATCTTACTGAACATGACAGTGGACATTTTATACATTTGGGAGAGTGCTGAGGGACAAGAGGAAATCCAGCTGGAATGGCATACCTGGAGTGCCCCGGGTCATTCACAGAGGAGAGAGTGGGCACACAGGGCTGACAGTCTTATACAACCTCCCCGTCACACACACATGCACACAGGCTATGCATGAAAGCTTGGCCAAAGAACTTACTTGCTCTTTACTTGAGTCTCTCATTTTATAAACTGGGTGTGACCTATCAATTATGCAGTCCTTACAGGGAAAACAAAGGCATCGTGGACATTAATGGCATTAACATGAAAAAGGTTGCCCCTTGCTACCGACTCTAGCCAAAACCCAGAGCTAAAAGAACCTTTACAGATCAGCCCTGGTTTCACAAATGAGGGAATTGAGAGCAAGAGAAAACAAGTGACTTGCTGCAGGTCACAATGGGAGTTTGTGATCCAGCCAGGATTGGAAGCTAGGGCTCCTGTCTCTTTGTTTAAAGTTCTTTCCATGTGATCAGAAAGCTTCCAAAGGACACAGAACATCTCCCTAAATAAGAAATTATTTCAGATTTCTGAATTACAAGATTTGCAATTCAACAAATATTTATTGAACATATACTATGTGCTAACGGAGCTGGCATTTGTGGGGCAATAATAGAAAGGTATGACACAGTTCTTATCCTCCAGTAACTAACTAGGAAACAAGAGGCGAAGATTTGAAACAGTTAAGTAAAAATAACAAGGAGTATGTGAGAAGTGCCAAGAATGGGGGAACAGTGAGTCCAAGGGAAAGCTCAAAGGAGACAGACTGCAATGCTTCCCATCTCGCAGAGAAGGCGCCTTTAAGCTCGGTTGGAGAAGATTTAAACAGAAAAGTGCAAGACCAGCCTGCTGCTCAACTCAAGGGGTTCCCTTCACACTGGGGGCCATGTGGCCAGGAGAAAGGAGGTGAAATCCAAGCAATCTGGGCTGGTCAAAGCCCAGGAATTTGTATTTTTCAAGGTTACCCACGTAATTAGGATGCTCAGCCAGGTTTG